TGTCCCGGGAGCGCACAGTCCATTTCGTTCTCAAGTACCTGAATAAGGATTGCTCCCTGAAGGAACCAATTCTGGCTGGTTCTCATGTTCCTGAGAGTATAGATTTGAAATACAAAAAATGGATAAATGCAGATCTTATTCCAGATGTGTTTAAAGTGGGCTATAAACCACCACTCCCCACTTTGTTTTTACCTCAAGTCCATGAAGAAGTGCAGGAACTGTTTGAGCCCTGGGTGTCCCTGCTGCTGGCGGAGGATGCTGTTGTTTGTGGCCTCCCTGACACCTGTATTGTCACCTGTGAGCACGATGTGCTCAGGGATGAAGGGCTGCTGTACAAGAAACGCTTAGAGGACAACAATGTACGTGTGACCTGGCACCACGTGGGAAAAGGCTTTCACTGTGCTCTGGGATTTTTTGGATATGGTATTTTTTCTTTCCCATCATCAAGTACAATAATTGATCATGTTGTAAACTTTATAAAGTGCTATTAAATCATTTTCTTGCATACCGTGCACTGGTATATAGAAAGAGTGTGATTCATTTAAATGATTCAATTAACTATTTACTAACTATTTGTCCATTAGAATAAAGGCAAGAACTTATGACATGAGTATGGTCTGCTGAATTCTGATTTTTACTTGCTATTACTTAGGAACATGATGTTTGTAAGCTTGCTTTGATGCTCTCTTCTTGCATTGTAAGAATTTTTGTTCTCTTCATATGTCAATGAATAAAAACTCAACAAAAATCATTCTGAATGTGTAAGTAAAAAACACATGGAATGTGTGAGTAATTAGCCATGTGCACATGCATGCCCACCTAGTGCCCCCAAAATCAGCATGGCAATACCTCTGGAGAGTGGAGATTGGATGAAAAGTAATCACCATCAGAGCATCTGTACAGACAAACAATAGCTTTTCATTTATGTTTCAAATCTGAAGGAAGGAATTGGGTGTACTTACAAACCTGATTTTAAAGGGAAATGGGTAGGTTGGTACAGCTCACATGCTGCACAGGATGGGTACCAGGAGGTGCCTGAGACTGCAACAGAGATGAATTAAGGGAGAACTGCTCAAAAGTAACTGAATATCCTCTAAATTATATTCTATGAAGTTCCTTTCTGAGCAGCATTTTATTATATTCAGCTTACCTGGCTTTTGGGGAGAAAGGATGTAAACAACACAGAACCTGCCAAATAATTTCTGTGTATATCCAAGACCACAGAAAAATCTGAGCTCAACTGTTATATTGCTGGAATTGTTGCATTGTTTACTAGAAGAGATCCACCCTTGCTAAACACAGATAACAAAGATAATTGCTGTTGCATAGCAAAATAGCTGGCCATGCAACGCCTAGGAATTGTAAAATGTGTAGCTGTTGTGCAACCACCTTGCCTTTGTAACATCCATGCACACATGACTGCAGAACGAGGTTAGTGCATGTCTGCTGTGTGCCAGGCAAACTGAGCAGGAAGAAGACAGAAGGTTGAATGTTCTGGGTTGTCACCATGTTACTGAATGCTGGTGACAGGTGAGCTGGTTCACATCTCTGCAGCAACAAGTCACTACTTGAGGGTTCCCACTCTCCAGTCCCTCTCAGAAAAATGAAATTACATCTCTTCGTGCTCTGTTGACACAACAGTGAGTTTATTTGTTTAAATTTTTCCTGGTGCAGGCATGGCAATTTGCTCTTCAAGTTAAGAAATGCTTCCAGGGGTAAATAATGTTATAGTTCTGAGTGTTCCACTCTTTGAGGACTTCAGGATCTGCCTTGATTATGAAGACAAAGGTTGGGTTGTACCTGAAGCTGGGCCAGCAGAGCCTGTATCTGCTATAAAAACCTTGCAAGAAGCTGAATGATATTGGAGAATTTAGAGAAGGTTGGCAAGCACCAGAACTAAGGAGGTCTGAACAATTGCATTTTGTAAGTCATGAGACGGTCACAGATGACCTCATGTTATTTCACCCACAGTCCAGTGCAGCTTTCTTTCCTTTATCTGGAATTATTTCTCATTTATGGGTCAATGTCCAAACTTGACACTGATCTACTCCTGAGATTTTTCCATGATCCTTTATCCATTGGTCTATTACAAATAATAACAAATTTAGCTTTATAATATGTCAACAGCATTATTAATTCTCTTGAACACACATTTTTAATCATGTGCTATCACCATTGAGTGCAGATGGGTAAGCAGAGAACAGCAAGTGCTGAAATAATGTATTCTTTATTTAATCATGACTCCCAGATTTTCTAAACTTTAAGAAATCACACAATCTAACTGTCTCCATGGAACTTCCTGTACTTTATTTTAATTAATTTAATTAATTACAGATCTGCTATGCGCCTTGCGTTGCTGAGATAGAATGTTTGAAGACACACTTGCCAAAGCATGGCCTTTTCAAGTACAAAACATAATGACAGTCAATGCCTACACCTACAGAATTATGGACACCAAAGTCATTCCTCAAGGAATTATGCAGGCAGGGAGTGAGGACTGACAAGCCCAGCTCCTGTTCAAGTTCAGGCTTCCAGCACCAGATGGCTCTCATGCTCTGCAGAACCCAGAAGGAGCTTCTTGGGTCATGAAGCACTTTCTCTGGAATGCTTCCCAGTATCCCAGTACAGGCTTTCACTTACAGTGAGTTCTGTTGCCATCTAATCAGCACCATGATCCAGAGGCAGGGAATGTTTAACATCTGTTACATTTGGCTCAGACTTTCCCTTTGGATGTGCACCCATATCACAAAAAAAGAACAAGGAATGACAAGATTTCAGGCCTGGACATTAAGATTTTCACCGGAAATTAATAAGAAAGGGAGTCCCTGGTGTAGGAGAAAATAGGGGTTTGGCCTGGTCTATCCCCTGCTCTATCTCACAGGAGCACAGACAAGGTCAAAAAATTATCAAAAGCTGGAGAGAGCATTTATTTGAAAGATTATTTAGGGAATGGTTTTCTCCATCCTGGGCCTCACAATTGTGAATTGCTGAGACTAAGTTTACAAAGCATTAAGCACTGCTCTGTACCTGCAATGCCCAAAGGGAAAAAACACATTATTACTTCAGAAACCAACTAGTTTGTTTCTTTGACAGCTTCCAGCACATCCAGTCTTTGTGTGGAGCTCTGGGGGAGCTGTGATGTCCAGACCTTGTCAATGTTTCCAAATGAGTCCAAGACCTACCAGCTCTTGGTGAATTGGCACCAAAAAGATTAAGAACAAAGATGAACAATAGGTGGTAAAAGGGCAGTACAAAGGATCTGTCACAGGTGTCAAGAGCATTCTTAGGTCCCCAGAGGGGCCAACTCTGGTAGATGTACTTAGAACACACCTCACCCACTGGAAAAACAGAGTTTAGCATATGCTAATTAATTACTTTCACTATTAAACATTGAAGGAGGGAGCTGCAATCGTGTTTTGTGCAACAGAATTTCCCAGTGCTCATCTGAGCTGTAAGAAAGCTGAACCCTCTGTGCACCTTTGTCCTGATGGGTTTGAAATCACCACTGCCATTTCCCAAGAGTGTCCCAGTCCCCAGGCAATGTGCCTTTCACGAAATCCCTTATCAAGATGGGCATCAAATGCCATTATCCAGAAGGATAAACAAAAAGGAATCTGATTTTACACTTAACATATGAGTAACCTTCTCACAAGGAAGGGAGAGGCACGAGAACATTGGGAAATGAAAATCCACAAAGAGTTGTTGGATAAAATGAAGAAACAGTTTGGGCAGAGAGAGCAGAACATGGAATCAGCTGCTTCTCAGAAAGTGCATCACCAGACTCAATAATGAAGCTCCATCCTGCTTATTCTAAACAGTTTCTGAAGTCAGGCATCAAGCCTGAGCCATTTCCTATGCGGGTCATGGACTCTGCATGCTAAAGCCCTGGGGTTCTCTGTCTTTAGTTTCATTTTATTATACAATTCAAGGTCAGCTCATCCCTTATATTATTTTATTATTATTAAAGAAAAAAATTTACACACTTATTTTACCCACACTGTGATTTTTCAGAATGAGAATCTGCTGCCTTCACAGTCTGAGCAGACTGCTAAAAACACACTGTTCCCAAAGGTGACATCACATGAGCTGTGCTTTACAGATTTTGTTTTTGCTTCAGGTTAAATCTCATCACTAATTATTTGTGTATGGAAAAATATATTAGCTCCAGAGGAAGATCCTAAAAGTTCACCACAGAAGAGTTGGGCTGCTGATGTCTAGTCAGTGCTACTAGCCCTGAAACCATGAAGTCTATTCTTCATGGTTGGAATTGTATTTCTACCTGGAATGACATCTGTACATATCTTCCTGGATGGCAGAGACTGCAGCACTGCCAGGCTCAACCAAGAGGCAGATAAAAAACCATACAAAAACCAAGGAAACACAGTAGCTGGTGCAGCAGAAGAGCTTTTGAGGAGGATGAGGCAGGAACAGCTCTCAGACCAGGCTGCAGCCGCCTCTGGCTCCACTGGACTCAAAGGTGCAATGGCAGCAGCATCCAAAATCTGCCATCACAAGTGATGAAACATGTTTGTGACACTGAGCCTTGATTTCCATGAAAGTCTGAAAAAGTAAGGTATGGAGGCACAACAAAGCAAGAATCTAAGCAGCTTGGAAGATGATTTCCAAGAAATACTGTGCAGGAACTCATAAATAATAAAGACTTGCTAGTAATCAAAAAACAGAGAGATAGAACAAACTTTTGTCTTCTTGTAAACTGACACGACAATGATCCATCAAATCATGGTTCTGCTGTGATGGGCACAGCCTTGTTCCTGCAAACGTGAAAACCACTTGTGCAAGACTCTTCCACAATTAATTGTTACTGTCTAATTGTATGTTTGGGTTATGACATGTTTTCATCTTCCTATTGGCATTTTTAAAAGCTGGATTATGAGCTATGATGAGAACAGCTAATCCTTTACCTTCAGAAATCCAAAAGTCTGAAAAAGGGGGAGGAGGCAACAGCTGGTTCTTTCTTGGGTTCCTACCAACACAGCAAGATGGAACTTCTCCTGGCCATTTTTCTCACCGTTTTGACTGGTATTGTGGCAATTGCTTTCTATTATGAGCACCCCAAAGCAGAAATTCCTCATGAAATGAGTGAGCGCCAAAAGCTTTATGCTCTTCATTACTGCATGAACTTTGGGCTTGGTCTGGTAAGTAAAAATTAAAGCTTGAGGTTTTTAATTCTATTTCTGTTAGAGTCATAATGGATTGGTGATGGTTTTTTAGAATCAATGTTTAAATAAATTGCAAATATACAACTGGACTGATTAGGTGATGCAAGCAGATTCCTTCAGCTGTGCTGGGCATAACAGACTCCCCTGTTTGCTATACAGCAGCAAAGGCAGTATTTTTGAAAGATAAAATTGGGCAGAATGCAATTCCCAGTTTTTTTCTGACAGCCTGTGTTTTAGCTTTTCTTGCCTGCTGCCTCAAGGCAGTGCTGGAAGGCTTAGAAGGTCACTTGCCTTGTGTATGTGGAATTTCTGCTCTGTGTAACACGGTGCTTGCTTACAGAGCGAGCAGCTAAATGATGTCTGTGATCTCAGCTCTCTCCTACAACCTTGTCACTCTCCTCCTGAGCCATCTGAAGAGAGCTGCCACATTCATCATCATTTGCCTTTCAATATGCCTAAACAACTTTCTCTTTTGAAGACAGCACACGTAATATCTAAAGTGACTTTCTGTGTCATTGTTTTTGGCACATTTTTGATCCTTCCTCGCTTTTCATCCTTGTTTCTTTTCAAAACTAAAACATGACATGCACTTGTCTTTCTGTTTCATCAATCATGCTGTCCTGAATTAACTGTTGCCCCAGTCATTTAAAAAACCCTTCTGTGATACCTAAACTAAGCTTCTTTTAGTTGTTTAAATTGTGAATAAAACCTTTCAGTCTCTTTGGCTTGTGCATTACATTCTACTTCAATTCTACGTTCTAACGTTGTTAATTCTTCCTTTCTTTCCCTGCCTCATTGTTTGCTAAGATTTATTTGAAGTAGTGAGCTCCCAAGAAGGTGACTCACAATGTCTCTGGCACCACACCCAGGCCTCAACACTGCTTTTACAGCAAACCAATAAAATAGGATAGGAATTGAAGTCAAAATTAATTTTCTTACAATTATTATACAGTGTATAAACATCCACAATTTCTAAACACTGTGTGATTACTCTTTATCCATTAAAGTTTTATTTTTGTGTAATTCATTTGTTAAAAGTGAAACTGCAGAATTTAGAAATTTACTGGTGATTAAACTTCTGATCTTATAATTTTGTATCCTTTCTGCTGGCCAGTGAGAGGCCAAGCACAAGGACTGTCACACACCACCTGAAAGGAGCACAGTGATAAGGACATTAAAGGAGGGCTAAACCAACCTTTAAATGCAAGTAAAGTTCAAGTCATGTAGCAATTCCTGCTATGGCTGTTGGGCAAATTACTTGTGCCAAATTCTTCCAAGGGCTGACAATCCATGAAGTCAAAACTGCATGGAAAATTAAAGTTTACAAGAATATCCAGTGCTCAGCTGGAACAAAAGGCAACACCAAACACTGTGGTTGGTGAGGTCTCCTTTTAGTGTTTTCAAGACAAAGATGATCTCCATACAAATATAGCTAATTGCAGGTTTAACCTTTACTGTTACAAAACTATTAGTGTGAGGAAAGAAAGTACCAGAGGGAAATAGAAGAATAAATAAGTTATTTTCCCACGGACATGGACCAGGAGTTCTATAGAAGGAATCTGTATGAGACTATAAATTTGCCACAAGAAAATCCTTCCAGTGTATGGGATCAGCTCTTCAGATGGCCTAAAATAGGATACCTACAGCAAATTTAACAGGATCACAAGCCACATGAGGTCTGTGAAATATGAGGTGAAAACCCTAACAGCAGGTTTTCAAGATCTATGCAGGGCAAACATTTATATGTATAATTCTCACTGAAATGCATATTCATGAATAATGGCAGCACAACAAATTTAATTACTCATTAGAGAAGTCTGCTGTGGAAATAGTGTAAATTGAACCCAGCATAGCAGAAATACAGTGATACTGCCTCATACTTTTCATCTTGAGCAGGAATAGATAGAGCAGGCTACAAGTGAAACAGCTTAAAGCCATGCAGATGCAATGGAGTAGATGAGCCCAGAGTGACATAAGAACCTTAGCCCGAGTGTTTAAGTAAGAATCAGTGAGCTGTGAGATCAAGCCAGGGTTCAAAGCTATTCTTGGTCAGGAGGACAGCTGTGGATTTTTTTTCCCTGTAAGTTTAAAAGCAGTGTGAGATTGGGAAACAAAAGTATTGGCTATGTCTCTTCATCCAAAGCTAAAGTTTAAAATACTGTAACTGGTCTCTCCTTATTTTGTCCAGGCACATGGCTACTGAAACACCTGACAAGGTGAAGTATTTGACACCTTTTATCTACTATTAATAGTTTGATTGTCTTCCTACTGGATTCACCATTAAGTTTAAAATTTTTCATTATCAATCTCCAGATTAAATAGAAATTTACAGTAATTTGTGGTTTCTTTTATCACCAGGCAACATTTTTGGATAAAGTAGGTGTCATCTCAGAGGTCCATCTCCTCAGGGTTATAATGGAGACAATACCACCATTAAAGGATACACGTCTTCTTATCAAGGACTTAAGGTTTGAAAGGGTTAAAGTGAGAATTTACCAGCTAAAAACATCAAACAATAGCCAAAGAAGGGGAATCCTTTATTTTCATGGAGGAGTTGGCCGGCTTGGAAGTATCCGTAAGTAATATAAATAAAATGAGCTGTAACTGCATGCAGCATCCAGATGGGTCAGGGAAGGGAGCACAGGGGGTCATCTGGTCCCACCTCTCTCCTCCAGCAGAGCCATCCCAAAACACAGGGCACAGGATTGTGTCCAGACAGCTCTGGAATATCCCCAGTGAGGGAGACTCCAGAATCTCACACCACAGAGTTGTGATGAGTCTGAGACACAGAGTGTGAGCCCTTGTCTCTGATCCCTGGCTCTGACATCCAGGAGAACACTGAATTCCATATTCATGGTGTTACATGAAAACAACTGTTAGATAGAAAAGCTGAAAGTGTGAGTGTGGAGATTACAGAGTTTTCTTAAGTCACTGAGTGAAAAAGTTAAAGTTTAGAGTTTAAACCAGTTTAGAAAATAGAAGACAAGATGGAGAATTTAGAGTGTTGTTTCTTTTCCTTCTTCTTTCTTCATGTTCTTCTTCTAGAGGTTTTTGGGTAGTAGGAGGTGATTGGATAGAAAATGTCACAGTGCAGCACACAGGTGATGGGTCATTGGGTCATTAAGAAAAATAATTTACGTGTCTATTGTTAATTGGATAAGAA